TTCTATATAGTGTGTAACTGTTAATATAGAGCGTTATAAAATTTATTGCTATTGCAATCATATGGCACATTGACTTCTGAGGAAATTCTAAATGGCACTCGTCATCAGACGTCATCGAGCCTACCCCTGGTTTACACACACTCATCAGCATCGGTGTAATGGTAATTTCAATTATTTCTTTAAACAGTTCTTTTTCCTGGTTGAAATGATTGTCCATATTTATTTAATGAATTAAAAATTCAAATCACAGAGGAGGGGCCTGAAAGCTGGAGGCTCTGGCTCCTATTGTGTAAGTGCTCTATTAGGGTGATATGGTACTATGAGGTCTTTAAGATAAGAAGGGTCTTGATTATTCAAGAGCAGGAGGACCTTGCAGTTGCAGCAAGATTTCAATCCATTACAGCTTAGTGTGTCACCAATAGTGTTCTTGGTGAGTGTGGTTCCAGCTGCCTTCGGATCATTAACAAGCAAAGGTCAAAGGTAATTTTATATTTCCTCCATTTCCACTTTCTCACCAAGCTTTTCACTGATGGTCTTATAACAACTTCCAGCCTTGTGCAGGTTTATAAGCTTGTCACTGAATTGCCCAGGTTGGAATGGAACAAACTGATTTTATAGACAGCTTTCTACATTTAACAAGTTCCAAATCCAAATCCAATTTATTTATATAGCACATTTAAAAACTTCAAAAAGTTTTCCCAAAGCGTTGTACAAGAACAAAGCAATAGATAAACCCACTCACACTAAAACACTCGCACAACACACCTTAGTTCTATCTGGTCGTTAAGTGATGACGTGATGAATCTTACTTCCGGGCCTAAAGTAGTCTGCGTTTAATATGGCTTTTGTGTTGTTAACATGTTTAATGTTTTGTATTTTCTTCTATTTAATCTCAAAAAGCTCCTAAAACAGTCAGTGATCACTGTTGACCTCCCTCGGCTTTTATTACCGCTAATCATTTATTTAAGCTCAGTTTTTAAAACCTTAGGATGTAGCTACAGCCCAGCCCATGCAGCAGTATATGAATGACTAACCTCGTATTGTGGATGGATTATCTCAGTTGTTCTCCTGGCTGAAGTTTAGTCCTTTTACAGCATCCTGCCATGTGATTACATTTGTTCCTGACCACCGAGAACACTCACTTTAACTTTTATCGAGAGGGAAAAAAGTTAGCTTGTTTATATTATGCTAACATAGCTGTGTCGCTAGCGGTCACGTAGCACATCATTATATACCAGCTAGCCAAACTTCAGTAACCCTACAAACGTCACTGCTGTTTAGTTTTCTGTCTTCATTTATGTTGGAAGTGATAACAGAGCTGTACGTTTGAATTTGTTTCCAAAACCCCGCAGTCAGGACATGCTATATTGTATTTAGATGGAAGCTAGCGAGCTAACTTCCTGCTAACTTCTAACTCCGTTAAATGTCATAAATTCCGTTTTCATGGATGCCTGGATGTTAAACTCAATTGTTACACCTGGTAGAGCAAAACGCTGATCATTTTATTAAAGATGAAAGACTTTAGACAGTTTTTCAACTCTCAGTAATGCCATAGTGATCGTTTGATATATGGACCTGCAGCAGAGTTTAGGCCCAGACACGGCTAGTGACGTCAGACTTAACGACTGGATAGAAAATCTGTCCATTAGGCAGCCAAGAAGCCTAAAGGATTTTCTGAGATGTATTCTACTGTGCTTCCCAACAAGGGTTTCTCCACCAAGTACTAAGTCATGTTTTGATTGGAGATCAAATACTTATTTCCCTCAATATTTTTTCTCAATGACATGCAAATCAATGTATAACTTTTGTGTAATGTGACTTTTTTGAGATCTTACATGTTCGTGTTGGCTGTTGAGGTCAACCACTCGCCAGCCACACCAATCACATCCAAACCTGAAGAGAGCTGATTGAAAAAACGTGGATGACCTGAAAAACATAAGTAAAGAAGAATTAGTGTATATATAGTTTTATAGTGTGGGTTTTTTCTGTTTGGGGTTTATATATGTGTTTTTATGCTTATGTGTGTGTGTGTTATAAAATAATACATAATACTTTACTACTAAGGTTTGACATTTCTTGTGTGCATTTATACATCTCCAATAAAATAAAGACAACAAAGAATGTGATTAAAGATGTACAGTAACAGAAATGTCCTTCATTATTCCCTGTAACAGGGAAGCCTTGTTCTACCAGCAGTTCCGGTTAAAAGGGTTTTTTTCTTCCCACTGTCACCAAAGGACCTGCTCAGAGGGGTCACATGATTGTTGAGGTTTTCCCTGTATTCTTTTAGGCTCTTCACCTTACAGTATAACGCACCTTGAGGCAAGTGTTGTTGTGATTTGGGGCTATATAAATAAAACTGAATGAAACTGAATTTATTTGATGTCTGACTATTGTCTAAAGAATATTTAATCAATTTCTTTCTAACAACCCACATTCTGTTAACCAATACTTTTTATACCTATAGTGGTGCTCTTAAGGCATCAGATTGTTAGTTTGGAAACTCTGGCATAAAAAGAGTAACTTTGGTGCGTGCATCATTTTACAGTATTTTGGCAGCTGTGCGTGTGTGTGTGCTTGAGTGCATTGGGTTTGGAGTGGCTGACTTGCCAGCATGCCACGAAGCTGCCTCTGACTTTTAAATGTTTGGCTCTTGGTGAGTGGGTTGGGAAAAGTAAATTCAGTTTCCCGATGAATAATGCAGTGGCAATTTTTTAGACAGCATAGATAAAATGCATAAGGTTGATTAGAGTGGTGTAGTGGTGTCCTCGGGATTCCCATATGCTTGTTTGCCATTCACCTAGGGACCATTTTTGATCCAAGGACACCACACAATTTTCTTTTACTGGACCTTCTCCACTCATGTCTCCTTGCAAGTCTCTTCAGTTCATCTCCATTAGAAGAAAAATTGAACCTGGATTTCAAATTTAGGATTGACGACTTTGTTGTTGACGATCATGCCCCCCTGGCTCGTTACCCAAATCTGGTCAGAATTTCAGGGCAGTGGGAATATATTTTCTTAGAAAACTTGTGACATGCTCAATAATTACTTTATCTGCTGTATACAAAAAACACGGGAGAACTTGGACCGGGAACACTTCGCTAATAAAGAGAGTTTCAATCAAGCAAAAACATTTTCAGTCTAGTCTGGTGAGATCTTAAAAAACTCAATGTCACTGTCATACACAGGACTGAGGATAACGGTGCTGATTGGAAGAGTAAATCTCATGGTGAAATTTTCCTTAGCCATAGAAGCAGCATCAGTGGTGATTAGGGATGCAACGATACCAATATTTTCAAACCGATATGATACCGATACTTGGATCTGAGTACTTGCCGATACCGAGTACAAAAACCGATACTTCTACCACATTGGAAGACAAGTTTTATTTTATTCTCTGCCGATAATAAGTAATATCTTAATAAAAATGACCACAAAAAAATTTCAAGTGAAAAATAAGCACTTCTCTTAAATTATTGCAGAGTCTCCACATTGTAATTTAACAAAATATCACTGAACTATTGGCACTGTCTCGAGCTTTCAGAATAATAAATAAACACTTCTGTTTGGAATCAAATAAATACAAATTAGGTTTGAGAATAAAATAAACTTTTAAATTATTGCAGAGTGTCCATATTGTAAACAAACAAACAAAATAACGAAAGTATTTGGCATTGACGAACGAACTCCCCATCTGCCCGTGGATCATCAGTCCACTGTGCCGTTAAACCAAGGACTGACATCGCGCACACTGCTTGTCTTTACCTGTTCAGAAAGTTTTGGCACCATTATCTCCCTGATGTGTGGGCGGTTGGGAATTTCATATCACAGCTCGAGTATGCTGAGAAGACGGTGCAATCCTATGTTTTCCACGGCCGGCATTGGCTGGTCATCCAGAGTGTTAAAATGAGTCAGAGCCTCTGTTATTTTAACTGCCCGTGGATTTTCTCTTGACATTTTTCATCGCTTTTCCAAAACCTGAGTTAAAGTTGGCTGTTCCACACTGCTGACATTTTGTTTAGCCTAGCTACAGCAGCCTCCAGTTTCTCTTTTTTATCTGGAGCCGCCAGTCTCACTCGCCTAACCCTGTGCCTGTTTAGCGCAGGATGTCCCCCTAGTGGCCAATCTAAAAAACTACAACAAAAATGACAAGCCACCCTCTGATTAATGAAATAAGTTAGTATCGGTTCATGGTATCGGTTAACTTTTACGAGTTAACCGATACCACATTTAACAGTATCGGTCCCGATACCCGATACCAGTATCGGTATCGGTGCATCCCTAGTGGTAATAATATTATTTTCCAAGTATTTTATTACTCCTTCTGTTTACACTGATAAAGTGATGCCAGCTGAGATATTAAAGGTTTTTTTATAAATATTTTTTTTAGCTTGTGGTTAATTTATAATGCTGCTATGCCACAAACTACTCCATAAGACACTGAAAAACAAATTGTTCCTTGCATTTTGCACAAATGACAGAGAACAAGGTCAGAAAGTACAAGTAATATATTTTCCAACGCACTTCCTGCCATCAAATGTTCTAGAAAAGGTTCTTTGTAATAATCAGTGGGGAAAGTAAATATTTGCAGCCAAGGTTCATTAGGAAAATGTAGACTGCATAAAGAAGTTTGGTTTTGAGTCACATTGGAATCCAACTGTATAGAAACAAAGCATATGTTTGCATGCTATATAATATGGAGAGAAACCAATCTGACAGTGATGTCAGTTGGGTGTTTCTTGACTTCTGAGCCATGGCAGACCTCCCAGCTTGTTCCAAACAGGGTGGTTGGTGCCTTGGGGGTGGAAATACTACTTTTTCTCTTTCAGTAAATGTACTATATATGAGTTCTAATACTGAACTAAAGTTCAGGAGCACTTGGACAAAACTAGGCTTATTCATTGTTGTTTAGTGTGCTAAAAATTACTTATATTTTTCAAAATAAATACATAAACAATTAAGTATTAATAACAAGGACCTGCAAAAGCACTTCAGAAGATTGCATGGCACACTGAGCACATCTGAATCTCAAGTGATCCAGGTAACGTAATTTGCATAGAGACAAATCCTCCATTGTTGAGTGGAACAGATTTTGTTTTTTAAGTTGCAAAAGAAACACACATCTGTAGGTAAGAACTCAGACCTGACACGATAAACATATTTTAGTACTTCCCATACCTGTACTAACACCATATTTGAGGGTGTCTCTACAGTCCACTAGTAACTGCTCCAGAGTTTCTGGTTGTACTGGCAGGTCAAGACTGAAGCCCTCCAGTCCCTCCTTTAGCTGATGAGGATGATGGAAGTCCAGCACCTACATGGTAGATACTATTTTTTACATTTTAAAACCATACACATTTTAAATAATACACATACATAAAAACATTTTCAATCATGTCAGTTTTGCTGGGATTTTAATATGGGGACTCATTCCTCTATCATTTTATTAAGAATTAAATTTTTTGCCAGTAGGCAGAAGTGAAAAGTGAAAAACAGGATTAACAGCATACATGTGCTTTACATATATTACAAATAGACAAAGTGATTTGAAATTAATGACTATTATTTTAGTTTTTTAGATATTAAAGTAATTCTATAAACACAGAATAACCTGTAAAACTACTGTATATACACTACTGGCCAAAGGTTTTTAGAACACCCCAATTTTTCGAGTTATTTATTGCAATTCAAGTCGTTCAAGTCCAATGAATAGCTTGAAATGGTACAAAGGTAAGTGATGAACTGCCAGAGGTTTAAAAAAAGGTAAGGTTACCCAAAACCAAAAAAGAATGTACATTTCAGAATTATACAAAAAAGCCTTTTTCAGTGAACACAACATGAGTCGACAATTTAAAGCTGTTCTGCAGTAGTGGAGGTTGATTAAGCCTTGAAAGCTGGTTCACTAATTCCTACAGGTTTGTTGTAGTGTGTAGTGTAGTTGTAGTGTGTTGCTACAAAAATGGTAAGAAAAAGGCAATTAAGTAATGTTGATCCAGTGCTTGTTACTGGGGAAACAGTGTACAGTTCTAGTTGGGAAGATCCCCACAGAAATGCATATAGGTTAATTATGCAGTCTGTGATGCTGTTGACATATTCACCATTTGGATCACAGAGCGTGTCCCAGTCAGGAGTTATGCAGAGCCTTGCTGGCTTCCTGACTCCCCCTCCTCACAGACTTGGTGACAACAGGAGTGTGCAAAACAGAAAGTCCATGTTTTACAGTCAAACACACTGCTGGGAAGTTGTCACAGTGGACTCCAGACTGGCATTACACTACTAAGAAGAATATTAGGACACTAA